ACTATATTTAAATTTCACAAAGCTATACGCAAAGATTTGGAGTATTTAGATATTGAATCTGGAAAGCTTAGTCACTGTGATGAGACGATTCTTCGGCAGTTCACTGGAAGATTTCGTCTTTTGTGGGGCCTATATAGAGCTCACAGTAATGCTGAAGATGATATAGTATTTCCTGCACTGGAATCCAAAGAATCCCTTCATAATGTGAGTCATTCATACATGCTGGACCATAAGCAGGAAGAAAAATTATTTGAAGATATTTCCTGTGTTCTTTCTGAGCTTTCTGTCCTTCATGAAGACTTTCAGATGACCAGTATGTCGAATGAAAGTAATTTTGAAACTTCTGATATGAGTTTTAGAGATAATAACAGAAAGTACAATGAGCTGGCAACTAAACTTCAAGGGATGTGCAAATCCATTCGAGTGACACTGGATCAGCATATTTTTAGGGAAGAGCTTGAGCTCTGGCCATTGTTTGGGAGACATTTTACTGTGGAAGAACAAGACAAGATAGTGGGCCGGATAATTGGGACTACAGGTGCAGAAGTACTGCAATCAATGCTACCATGGGTAACTTCTGCACTTACTGAGGATGAACAGAACAAGATGATGGATACATGGAAGCAGGCAACAAAAAATACTATGTTCAATGAATGGCTTAATGACTGCTGGAAAGAAAGTCCAGAAGCTATATTGCCGAAAGAAACACCAGAGCAAGCTGCTTCTCAAAAAGGTTTTTGATACCCTTCATGTCTTTCATATTTAGTTGAGGTTGATATGCATGATTAATAGTTTAATACCTAATGTTTTACTTCTGTCTAGGTACTGAGCATCAGGAAAGCATGGACCTGAACGATCAGATGTTTAAGCCAGGTTGGAAAGACATATTCCGGATGAATCAGAACGAGCTTGAGTCAGAGATCCGGAAGGTCTATCAAGACTCAACTCTTGATCCAAGAAGAAAAGCATATCTTGTGCAGAATCTAATGACTAGGTTTATACAGTGACCATAACCTTCTTGTTATGTATAGTTAAAAGACAGTTAACTGGCTAATTACACATTCATCTCTTAAAACGTTATTACATTGCCTTGAATTTCCATTTGTTGACCAGTTATGTATGTATTGTAGTCGATGGATAGCTGCACAGCAGAAGTTACCTAAAACTACAGCTGGGGATTCTACAGATGGAGAAAAAATTGAAGGACGCTCAGCATCCTTTCAGGACCAGGAGAAACAAATTTTCGGGTGTGAACACTATAAGAGAAATTGCAAACTTAGAGCTGCATGTTGTGGCAAGTTATTTACATGTAGATTTTGCCATGACAATGTGAGCGATCACTCTATGGATAGGTAAATATTTTATGGTGCTCTCTTTTTTTTCTACTACATTTTATTCCACTGACTATTTCTTTGATCAATTGCAGAAAAGCAACTTCAGAAATGATGTGCATGCGTTGCTTGAATATACAGCCAGTTGGCCCAATATGCATGACGCCTTCATGTAATGGATTTTCAATGGCAAAATATTATTGCAATATATGCAAATTTTTTGATGATGAAAGGTAGTTTTTTAAGTGCTGATTTCTTGCTTTAAAATTCAGGATTTTTAGGATGAAAGCTGTATTTCCTTCTTTTTTATGATGATGAAAGCTGAATATTCCATTGCACAATGCTTAATCCTTACTTTCCAAGGGATAGAATCATCTCTTTCTACCAAAAATGAAGGATAAAATCTATATGAGCATAAAAGACACAAATTTCACATTGATGTTCACACACACACACACACACACACGCATGCTTATTTTATACCTACGAGTTTTTTCTTTACTAGAAATATTTAATGTTCTCTCCAATGCAATATAATTGTTGTAGCAAGAATATGGTACAAGTCATGAGAGTGTGCTTTAGTTTGTCAACCCTTATAGTCTTTTGGATTTTGTTTTGTAGTTAAACTCATGTCATTCTTTACCAGGAATGTGTATCACTGCCCTTTTTGCAATTTGTGCCGTGTGGGGAGAGGGCTTGGGATTGATTATTTTCATTGTATGAAATGCAACTGCTGCCTGGGGATAAAATCGGCATCTCACAAGTGCCTGGAGAAAGGCTTAGAAATGAATTGCCCAATTTGCTGTGACTTCTTATTCACATCAAGTGCTACAGTCAGAGCTCTACCTTGTGGCCACTATATGCATTCAGCTTGCTTTCAGGTCTGTTTCTTGCTCATTTTAGGTTTTAATGTAAGCCATTTGTGTTTTATTATTATTATTTTTTACTTCTAATAAGAAGAATTCTCAAGAGGTTTCAGGTTCACAGATTCATACTTACACTTTCCTTGTGATGTTAGGCTTACACTTGTAGTCACTACACGTGTCCAATCTGCAGCAAATCATTGGGAGATATGGCGGTAAGAACTAAGAAGACTTTCTTTGTAGATAATCACTGTCAAGTTTGATCTTATGGATTATATGCTTTCAAGTTTTCATTAATTTTTGATGAAGAATCAATCGTGAAGGTAGAGTACGAAAGGGAAAAAAAAAAAAACCTAAAAAGCTAGGCAACCTAACACACTTAGTAAAACACTCCATAATTGGTTGTTCCCCCTTCTACCCAGGTTTACTTTGGCATGCTTGATGCTTTACTGGCTGCTGAGGAGCTTCCTGAGGAGTACAGGGACCGTTATCAGGTATGCTGTATCAACGTCTACTTTTGCTTCTCTTGCACATCTGCAGAGGGATTTTTTCCTTGCTAAAACTAATGCGTTAATCAAAGAAAGATGAATTAAGAATGTAGAATTATAGTTTTCAAGTCACAACATGCGTTGAAAATTGGATAGTATTTTAAATTCTTCTATCAAAAGATACAGTAATAAATTGGAAAATAGCTGACTATGACTACACATAATATATGCATATCTTAGAAATTGCATAAAATACTGAAAGTGAAATTGATATATGAAAAGTGTTTTATCAGGTTATAGGTAAGCTCATTAGTCACAAATTTGTAATCCATTCTTGAAATGGTCCCAATTGAATTCCTCTTTGTTTCTTTACAAGAGGCATGGTCAATACTCTACAATTGTACAAAGTTGTCATACCAACTCATTATTCTTGAAAAAATAATTTATATCAAGTAGGAAACGGACGTACAATGATAAAAAGGCATAGTCATCATTCGTTTGCTTCTGTGTGGAGAAGTTTATCTCTTTATTAGACTAGTAAATTTTTTTTTTTTTTGTAGGTTTTTTTTTTAAATTTCTTGTGCATGTTACTTTTTAGTTTTCACCGTTAACAAGATTTTGGCGCAAGGTCGGAACACAGTACGAGTCTGGAGACATTGCAATTCCATACAACTGAAGGAAACATTTGGCATTAATCTGTGAAAGTAAATTGTTGAGTTTCGTGGCAATGCTTGGGATAATATATTTGACAGATAAATAAATAAAACACATCGTCATCATAGTTGAAGCTAATGAGCACGAGTTTTATCCTTTACCAATTCATAGCGATTTTCAATAGAATTATCTGGCTGACATGCTTTATTCAAACCATATTATCCACTATTTATATGAAATTTTAACTGTCTCCAGTATCACAGTAATAAAGGAGGTTTCCAACCATATAAATAGGATAAAATAAAATATACTTCATGGCAGCGGCAATTGGTCATTCTTAATGGTGTAGTAATTTGTTTTGATTGCAATTGCAATGCAGGACATACTTTGCAATGACTGTGAACGAAAGGGGTGTTCTCCCTTCCACTGGTTGTATCACAAATGTGAATTTTGTGGCTCATACAATACCCGTGTGATCAAGTCCGAGCCATCAAATTCCCGCTGCTCTTAGTGTCACTTTTGACAAGGGGCGGTAGACACGGGTTGTAAATAGTTGTGCAGCCTATTCAATTTTCCCTCAATTAGTAATTCGGTCCTTCTTTAATCCTAATACATAATGAAATGAGTATTGAGGCCTTTAATGAGTTCTTCTCTTGAGCCAAATATAGAAGCACGAAAGCAATTTTATAGCTGTCTATTCTATTGTCATGTACAGGCTATCTCGAGTACTTGATGCAATATATATTTTCGCAGCTCCCTGTTATATCTTTTTTCTTATTCTTCAGTTCAATAGTTGAAGCTTAAGGTGCGACATGCCGACATCATTCATTGCATTGTATTTGCTTCAAAGAGGCATGTATGATGTATTATTAATACATGATGCTTAGGACCAAGGAGCAACAAGCACATAACTTCGCAGCAAGTTATGTTGCTTAATCAATGGTCTTGTTTGAGCTGTTGGTATGCTGCTTGTTGGGAGAATTTTGTCAACCTTATTGTCCTTCTTGGGTTAGAGGGACTTGAGAATCATTTTTAACATATGGGGAATGCTCAATTTGCACTGTTAAGACCACAATTAATTGCCATGGCCACTCGCCAGTGCTTGACTGCCGTTGCCAAAGTTGATCGGACCATCATTGCCATTTGCAGAGCTTGCGTTATTATTAAATTTTTAATAATATTTTATATACTATAATTGTGACTTCTGAAAAATAAATTTATCATTGAAAAAAATTATAAATTAAAAATTTCATATATGAACCGGGCAAATTAGATTTTGGATAGATATTTTGAATGGCTAGAGAAATCCTTTCAACCCGCAAGGAGCTCACTAAAAGCAAAGGCCTGTTTGGATTCTCATTGGGAATCAAGTCTAGGATCAAAATTATAATTTTGTAAAAATTCATTTAAATACTTTTATTTTACAAAACTTTATCCAGCTTGGGAAACTTTATTTTAAATAAGTTGAAATTTTTTTTATTTGTAAAATTTCATTTGATTTTTTTTTTTTATCATTTATTTGCCCGTTTAAAATTAATTCTCAAATAATTATTTAAATATATTCAATTTATTAAAATTAATTTTTATACATTTATTCAAACATCATCACACGTTTAAATAATTAATTTTTCTCAATTGAAATTCAAACACACCTAAACCGGAGTGGGTGGATGGGTCTTTAAACCCACCTGCCAAGGGAAATCATGGATCTGCATAAGCTTCGAACGAAATCTGGGGCATCATGGATAGTGGAGCTTATTGCTGCCAACGGTCTTACATATCAGTGAGGCAACCCGCGGAAGGCAATATGAACATAGAGAATGACATTCAAGGCAATCTCAAGAGAATTTATGGTAACGAGGCTTATTAATTTTGCATTAAATATTATTTTATAAAAGTACATATATATTATTAAATGTTAAACCTTAACTTATTAAATTTTCAAGAAAATTCTAACAAAAAAATATAAGTTAAGGTTGAGTTTTAACAAGAATATATACGTATTTTTACACGATAATATTCCATACAAACTAACAGACTTTTATTACGATGTTAAACTTCAAACTTATTAAATTTTCAAGAAAATTCTAACAAAAAAAATATAAGTTAAGGTTGAGTTTTAACAAGAATATATACGTATTTTCACACGATAATATTCAATGCAAACTAACAGACTTTTATTATGATAAGTTCTCTTGAGAATTTTGTAAATATCATTTTCCTATGAAGATTTTATTTGTATATTTTTTCACAATTATCTCTTTAATTTTTTTTATAATTTTGAGCCATAATTGGGATTAATGATTATCTTAGACTACGAACTCTTATAATGAGCATTCTAAACTCTTACTAGTAATCTTGTAGCAAATTACTAGATGCTGTTAATTTACATATAATTGCCGTTACCTTTGATTGTATGAGTCCCAATCAAAGGCTAATGTGATATTAATTCCGTCTTGACACATGATATACCAACTAAGCTACATAACAATCAACATTGTAAAGATTAATGGTGGGAGTAGTTTGTTTAGAATTTACAAATTGATGGGAGTTTTTACTTATTTTAAAAGTTTAGAATTGAGGATACTATTCGAATAATAATTTAAAATTTATGATGGTCAATTAACCCACAATAATTATCATCATTCAAATAGATTGAGTTATTCATTATCCCAATGAAGAGATGGCATTATCTCCTTTATTTTTGTAATTTTTAAACAAATAATAATTATTTTAAAAACAATATTTTTGGTTATATTGATAGAAGAACACTATTTATGTACTTATATAGCATTTATATTATTCATTTAAAGATTCACATGACTCTACTCGCAAAAATTTAACAAAATTAAAGCCTCCTAAAATAACTACTATCACTAACCCTTACCTCATCAATGTTTTATCATCTCTTATTTTGGTTTAGCACATTCATATCCAGTATAATTCTTGAAAGAATACTCTTTTATTTCCATATTTTGATCCAACTTTCGTTGACATTTCTTTTGCAAATTTTATTTTAATCTTCTCAATCTCTTTCTGGACATTTCATCAGGTTTCATAACATATTTTATATTTTTTTAACAACAATAAATATAAATAAGGAAAAATGACATTTAAAGAACTTTTAAGGAAATTAATTATAATTATAAGGACTTTAACATATTAGTTAGAATTAAAAATTTTCTGATTAAATTTTTTCAATAACTCATGTTTAATATTTTCAGTAGTCATCTTTAACATCTTCAGTGTTTAATTTTTTATTTTTTTAATAATCACTTTAGATATTTTCAATACTCATCTTTCATGGTTTCAATATTGAAAATATGAAAGACGACTATCGAAAAAAAAAATTAAGATAACTACCAAAAAATTTTAAAACTAAATATTGAAAAAATTAAGGATGAAAGATGAGTATTGACAATATAGAATATGAGTATTGAAAAATTTAACTCAATTTTTTTAATTCTAATTAAGAACTATAATTGTTTTTTAGAATTTCAAATTTTCAGGAACTTTAATTCCAAATATGGTTATCTTTAATTTCAGGCTCTCACTAATATACATAACATTTTTCATATTTCTTTAGTTTTTTACACTTTCTATAAATAAATTTTATTGAGAATTTAATTGTCATTAAATTTTTTTAGACTTAATTTTTTCACTTAACAGTGATCCTCCTTAAACAAATCATTTTAGCTCTAAAACAGAGTTTAATTTATTTACATTCACTTCAATGAATATAAATGTGTATACAATATTTGAAGAGAGACACACGCATTCATGCATACACACAAATATGTCAACACTTAGGTTCTGTTTGGTGCATAGACTTGATTTGGAGGGATTGAAATTGAAATTTTAAAATTATGTTTAATATGAAGTAATAATTGAGCAATCCATGTGAAATGCATCAAAGAAGGAGTAGTTGGGTCGGGTCATTCATGGGAAGGTTTTTTTTTTTTTGTCCCTCCTGTTTCCATGGGCTAGGCCTAACTGGAGTCACTCCTTTTCTAGTGTTCGCTGAGTCCACAACTCAAATTTCATAAACTAAGCCCTTGGTCGAAGGCAACAGACCTCTTCCAAGCAAGGGGTGGAATTGCACACAAATATAAAAAAAAATATTTATATTATAAAAAAACTATAAAAACAATATTTAAATTTAAATTCTGTTTGAAATATGTAAACAATATTAAAAAATATTATATTTATATAGATTTTTTTTTTTGGTCAGATTTGCATAGAAGTTTCTTATACACTTAAGTGCGTCAGTCAACTTTGAATTGCAAAAAGTCTGCGCTTCTTTCTTTTTCAATAGCGAGAATGAAGCCCGCGGATGCTGAGCCTGAAACATCACTACGGTCACCGCGTAACAATGCTTTGCTGATGCGATTGAGATGCAATTATTTTAATCCAATTTTCAATCCTCCGATACAGCCCTCATTCCACGATTCAAATCAGAAATTGAATTTCCAGAAAGACGCTGAAAAACCCACCGAGGATCTTCCCGGCAAGGTGGTGAAGAAGCGGAAGTTTCCGTTTGCTGATGAAACGGCGGCCGATGCGAATGTTAACTGTTGTTTGAGGAACATGGAAGCTACGGCTAAGTTTTCGTCGCTGTCGATGAAGATCGGTGAAGAAAGGGAGGTGAAGAACAAAGAGACGACCAAGTTTTCGGTTGTTCTAATATCGGACAAGATATAGAAGATGATGATGTCTTGACCTTTTTTAGAGAAATGCCTCCCAGAAACCCTAACAATCCTCCAACGCAAGATGTAGAAAATCCCACGGAACGAGAAGTCGACGACGACGACAACGGAGTGGCGGAGAAGAAGCGGAAGGTTTCGTCAGCTGACGAAACGGCGGCCAATGTGAATGTTAGGCCTCGGAACTTAAGGAACAAAAAACCGACGTGCTCGTTGTCGCAGCCAATGGAATTGATTAAAGCTTATGAGGAGAACTCAGACGAGGCGGAGGCGGAAAACCATGAGATAGCTAATTTTTCGGTCACTGTATCGGAAAAGAACAAAGAAGAATATTTCTCGGCCTTGACTGGAAAAAAGCCTTCGAGAAAGCCTAAGAAGCCTCGCAATCGTAATATGCAGAAAGCGATAGACGTAAGACTACGCTTTCCTTCTTGTGTTGAAATTTAATTTATTGATACTGCTTTTTTTCTTCTTTTTATGTGCTTTGAAGGACACAAAATACGAAAACCTATTTGATTTCTGGTTCTAATTTGATCCTTCTGGTTTAACTTTCACAGCAAGTTTTGCCAGCGCTTGATATATCAGAGATCATTGATGAAGTCATGATACAAAGGTGGAGGTAAAGTGGAGTATTTGATATCTCTAATATGTTGGTTTTCCAACTGTGAATTTCTCCATTGGATCCATGTTCACTAACAATAACATCTGACTAATTTTCTTGCAGGGGACTCCATTGGTGGCGGGGAAGCAAGGCATTTTACCGTTGAAAGAAGAGATCTATGGAGATATTGTAGGTGCTAGTACGTGTAGTTGCGTCTGTAGTTACTGTTCTTCTGCTGATGTCCTTATCTTCCCAGGACATATATTTTGGCGATTGATTTGATTTATCTCTTTTTTCATTGTTAATTTCTTTTGGAATGTAGTATCAGAAACTATTTGATTATAGATGAATGCCATGCCAGGATGTTGTGTGTGGTGTGTTAATTTCTTTTGGAATCTACAGATAAATGTGAAATCTTGAAAGAATCTGTAAGCAATATCTTTTAAAGATACATGAATTTTCAAATTTAAATACAGATAATTCTTCACAGAACTTTCATCAAGATTTTTTGCTGAGACTAGTGTCCCCCCCCCCCCCGGCTTCTATTTTGATCTTTCAATTCATGCTTGATTAATCCCCCCTCTTTTTTTTCCCTTGTCATTATTCTTCTTTCTTAGTTAATTTTTTATTTTCTTTCCTGCTTTTGGTGTTTTCCTCCATATTTGTATTTTTTTCTCTCTCTTTTACCTCGTATGCATAGGCCAACCGCTTTCCTGATTCGCACCAGTCATTGACAAGTTGATCAATTCACTACATTACCAATGTTACGGCATGCATTTACCCTAGTAGACTAGTTGGTCGAACAAGGTAGTCCAGCTCAAAACACATTGCATGATGGTATCAATGACACATCTATCTAGTTATATGTCTATGAAATCCTGTGAGAGTCATGATTTAGTTGCAGCACTTTTATCAGCGCATAAGAGTCTGACCCTTTGATTGGTTTAAACCTTTAAGGGAAATGAAAGGGAGAGAAGGAAAAATTTTAATAGCTTCAATTTTTTTTTTGAAAAAAAAAAAGAGAGATGAGGAGGAAATATTTAATAAATTTATCCCTCCCTTCCTACTTATATCTCTATTAAAAAACTTTCATCCTATTTTGTCAAGATTAGAGAGATGGGGTGGAATATCCACATAGATTGAACTATTTTAAGCATGGAAAATCAAACTGGATTTGACCAACGCTTTATGCCTCCCTCTCGACTCTGAACACAATGGTCTTGGAACTCAGGTAGGATACTCTTTTGTCGTTGCCCAAATTAGCCTTGATTTGAAATTTCTGTGGCTGGAATTTTTGGTGATGAATTTTCGAAAATAGGGGGTTTGGAGGCAGACTAGAATAGCCTTGGTGTTTTCAGCGATGATTCATTTGATTTTGTTTGAAAGCATAGCTGTTCAAACCTTGAGGAATCTAATGGTTCAAAATCTCATTAGTTTGTCTGCGTACGATTGATGTTATGGGTGTTAATAGAAAGGGAAATTTGTATGAGTACAAGATTCAAAGCTTGCTATACAAGAGAGTTTAGCATTGGATTGTTTGTTGATTTGTTAACTGGTTATGAAGCTCTTCTGGAGCCTTGAATTTCTGGCCTTTTGCTAGCTTCTGTGTTGTGGCAATTGATGGTAGATTGCGGATATCACTTTTGTTTCTTTCATAGCTTACCATGTCAAGCTAAGTAGAACTAGTAATTCGAGTAGGTCAGATTTATTCGAATCGGACTTAAAGTATCCTATTTTTTTAAAAAACTCATAGCCAAATCTGGTCTAACTTCTTCAATCGAGTTTGAACTGACCTGTCAAACTTAGTGAAAATTACTAACTCTACATATATATAAAACCGAAAATTTCAATTGTCGAATTTATTCAAGTTGGACTTAATTCGAATCAGGCTTGAAATACCCTGTCATCTTAAAAAGGCCAACTTCAACTTTTTTTAAACTATTCTGTCGAGTTGGACTTGAACTTTCAGCTCTAAAGCTAAGCCTCTTAATAATGTTTGTAATCTTGTGCCAGCAGCCTCTTGTTCTTGTAACGTAGCTAAGAGTTTGTCAAAGGAATTGTGCCTGTATGGCTGGGTTGTCAAACCTCCAATCCCTGTAATTTCACTTCCTCTTGGAGATTAATTTATGGTCCCTTCACCTGTTGTCTAGGTGTTTTCGCATATTTGCCTCTAAAGTGTATATCTCATTTTTTTCAGCACTTGGACTGCAATTAATAAGATTTTTTTTTAAAGTACCTTCAATTAGGAGATAAATAAAATTAACGCGTAAAAGTTTGTAATCGAAACACTTATTAAATAAAAATAAAAATGGAAAGAGTGTGTAATTTAAAGAATAGTTAACCAATTCATGAATAAGTATAATTGGATTAAAAATATCTTGTAACATTAAACGAAAAAGGTAATAATTAAAAAATAATCACTATGATTGCTTATGAATTCGACAAATAAAATATTGTTTATAAAAGAAAAAAAAAGAATAATCCATATATATGATTAAGTATAGTGATAGCGAAGTGCTAATATTAGAGACAAAATGTTAGTTAAATAATAATACTAAATGATGGTTACTATGATAATTAAACCGCTCCTAATCACTGAAAATGCCACGTAGTCCCATTTTAATTCAGACAAACATTTAATTTGTCCCACTCTGATAAATCCCATCATCATTCTTCTGTGTTCCGGTATCTCCTTCCAAGCATTGTCTCTTGCCGTAACCTAAATAGCTTCATTCACTAAAATACTTTTGGTCTTCTTCATTACCACTACTGGACACTATTAAATAATATGACAATATATGTGACTTGTAAGTTTGCATAATATAATATCCGCCGCTATTAGTTGACCAAAAGCAAATAGTAGTTTGACAAAAATTTTGAAAAAATATGAAAATTAAAAATATACAAATATTTTAATAATTAAAAAATATTAAATTAATAAATTGCATTTGAAACGAAAAATTAGCAATCTTTCTTCTGCTCATAATTCTCATATTTTGAATTATATTCTTGTCATCGGTATAATATGAGATAATAAAATTTTTAGTCTCCAAACTTACTTCAGTTATCAATTTAGTTTCTTAAATTTATTTTTATTAGTTAATCCCCTATATTTTCTTAAATTATCACATTAATCCTTTGAATTTATTCAACACAAATTGACTCTCAAATTAATTTGATGTATAATTATGTTGATAACCTGACAAATATATGTGACTAAAAGAAAACAAATTTGATTATCAAATAAGTTTAATTTTTATTAATTCAATCATTGTGTTACATTTGTTTTTTTAAAAATTATGAGTCTGTTTTCTTTTTTATCTTTTTATCTAAATAATTTCACATTTTTTTCATTTAATTTACATGATTACGAATTCAATAATCCATAATCCATGTCAACAAATTTTAGTAGTGTGTCATCACATCTTTAAACAATGATTCATGCAAACTCAAGAGATGAAATTAATGAAAATTAAATTTAAGAGATTAAATTAATGATTGAGACAAATTTAAGATGCTAAAACTTTGATTATCCCCAATTATATGAAGGAGAAAATATCAAAAAGTATGCATAAAATTTGTGGCAGATTTTAGATGGCCAAGGGGATACTTGCCCACTGTTACTCGCTATCTCAGACCCTTTTTGAATGTTCATAGTCTTACTTGACCCCCAAAAAAAAAAAAAAAATAAAGACATCGAAATCAAGTTTGGCCCTTCAATTTAGTTAATTTCAAATTTCAGCCCACATTCATTGCCTTAGCCATCCCTACTGTTAAGAGTTTTCACTCTCTGTGTGTTGTAATCGTACTTACTAACCCAAGCTTTTTGCTTGCCACCTTTAGCCGGGGGTAAAAAAAACTCATCTCTTCTCTTCATATTTATTTCCTGTTTCCCCTTTCTTACTTAAACCATTAACAAATAAAATATGAAATAAAACTTCTCATAAAATTTGGATAAACAGTGGAGCTCATCTTAAGTTGCGCAGTAACCCACGGTCCAACTCTAGTATGCAATAATCTCATGAGTTTAAATGTTTCATCATCACAACATAGTTATACTCTTTATATCTTTCTCTTCAATATATAATTATATGAAAATAAAAGATTTAACTTTAAAAAAACAATTCGTTGGAGGAATCCAAACGAGTTAATATTTCTGGTAATCCAAGAACAAGAAGAGAACCAGATGAACGGAGTCACGACTGCATAGTACAAATCAATTCTTGCTCTTTTTAGCCTTCCCAACTCTAAAAAGTACCTTTTGAGATGCAAGGAGTTGGAACGTTCAAAACAGGACTAATTCGAAGACCATCGCCATAATAAGATCCTCCATAGCCCTTACCTGAACCAGATTTCTGCACAGGGTATGGTGAAGGCCTCCAGGACCCTTCCCTGAATCCCTCGAGTTCGTTCTCTTTTGATTTGTAGCTGAACCAGAAGAGTTGCTCCGTGGCAGAGAAGAAGACGAGAGAACAAGCCTTTCTTTGTGTCACAATTGAGGCTTTTGCTCCTGCTGAATCCCCAGAAAGATCTGGAATGAGATTCTCTGGTGCTCTTGTCTTGGTTTTCTCAACAGGGGATGAACATGGACGAGGAGGGAGCCTCGTGTAAGGAGGTTCACACGAAGAGTGTGTTTTTTGGTGGTGGGTTGGTTTTGAATTTGGATCGGGAAAGAATGACGCCGTTGGAGAAGAGCTCGTCTGCAGAGGATGATTCAGAGTGAAGGCTGCTTCTGGTAATGCTGAACTCGAACTCTGACTCAGAATTTGAGTCCATTGTCATCAATAAGGTGTCGCGGCGAGGAAGATTGACATGGTGGTGATAGGTGATGAAACTGGTAGGTCATTGGAAAAAGAGAAACGAGGAGGGCTTGTTTCAGAGCACATAACCACACACAGATTTTAGGATTGAAAAGGGGGTGGTTTCAGGTTTGAAAAAATGCCTCTTTTTTTTATTGGAAGTCAAAGTGAGGACAACAGAGGATAATGTTGAGTGTTTTGGTGGGACAAAAAAGATGACCAGGTGTTTGCCCTTTTATCTTAGAATGGAAGAAGAAGAAGAAGAAAAAGAAAGAAGAAGAAGAAGAAGAATGGATTGATTGATCTTCTCTGGAAAGAAGCAGATGATTTTTTCTTTTTTCTTTTTGGTCTAATATTGTTGGGAAGCAGGGATTAGAAGATGACAGAACATATATCACTCTGCAAGAGTACATGTTGTCTGGGGAACGATGGAAATGGTAAAGCAAGGAAAAAAAATGTACACTGCCAGTTCAAATTGTATATTTGTTCAATAATCACGATATTAATACTCAATTTTAGTACTGCAGTATTCAAAATGTTCGACT